CATGTCACATTGTTTATGAATATTGATTATGAAACTAATGGCTAACGTTTCTCTTGATTATGATCTTAGGAGCTTAAGTTATTTATCTATATATAATCAGTTGGCTTAATGATTTCAAAACCTTGTTTAAAATCTTTTAAAAGTCTTTTTGATTTAACAAAAAGGGGGAGAAATTTTAAAAATGTTTTAAAGGGGAGAAGTGTTAGAGCAAGGGGGAGCAATTTCAAACTTGATTTCAAAATAAAATCTTAAAATTACTAAAATGTTTTGTTATATCAAAAAGGGGGAGATTATTGAAAACATTTTGATATTTCGATATAACAAATTAAGTTAAATGAATTTTAAGATTTTCCAAAAAGATTTTCTAAGAATATTATATATAATTATTCGAATATCAAAATATTACTCCAAATCTTTCAAATGTCATTTTTGATCCTTACTCAAGTGTAAAATTAAGTTTTAATCTTAAAAATAATTTTAAAACAATTTTACAAAATATTTCGAACCATTTCAAAGCAACAAATTCCAGATTGTTCAGAGGGAACCGATTCCCCCTGAATGGTTTGGCTCTGAGAAAAACAGAATGCTCGGAGGAAACCGATTCCCCCCTCAAGGGGGTACCGATTCCCCTATTTAATGGTCGAAATATTTGAATTTTACACTTAGGGAACCGATTCCCCATGAGGGGGTACCGATTTCCCCCATGCTCCAAGCAGAAATATTAATTGTCTTCACACTTAAACGGCTCCAATAACTTCATTAATGATCCACAACGTTCAGAAGTGATTCAAGGTGTATTTAAACAAGCTTAGAATCCATTGATCAACAACAAGAAACAACAAGCAACTAGAATCAAGAGAGAATCAAAGAGAAAGCATCAAACCTCAAGTTTGAGCATTTCAAGCTTATTTTTCATTCAATATTCATTTTGCTTTCAAGAACACTACTTGTACTCAATTGTATTCATTCTTGAGTGTTCTTTTCTTTGTTCTAGAATTGTGCAAACAATCTACCTTGTGAGAATTTCCTTGTAAGTTTGCAAATTTGTATTGTTCTCTTTTAGAGTGAGTGTTCTCAAGAATTTGGGGTATAATTCTTGAGTGTTTGTAAGGTTACTCTTTGTCCTCAAAAGAAAGACAAATTAGTGAATTTGTGGAAAATCCTTAGTGTGGATAGCTAAGGTAGTGGACGTAGACTTTGGTTGAGAAAGTTGAACCACTCTAAATCGCTGTGCAATTACTTTCAATTTTCTGTAAAAGCTTCCACCAAATTTTTAATTGCCAATTCACCCCCTCTTGGCCGATTCCGTCAATCGATTAACTCAACAGATATCACATACTATGTTACCATGTTTCATAAACCAATAAATCAATATTTCATTAAAACTCATTTCAAAACATATAAAACCGTCATGTAGTACATGTGGAACACACTAGAGATCCAAGTATTCCTTTGAGACACTAGGTAGTTATCAAAATGGATAGCATGAAACTGATGTAATTTGATTGGATTCCAGGAACGAGGTCTTATTGAAGTAAATCGATTACTAACTGATCTAGTCAGACATTTAAGGTTTATACTTTAGAATCCCAATATGATTCATGTACATCAGGAAAGTGTTTAGGAACCTTTATACAAATAATTCAAGATTCAGATTTATTGAGAGTGATTCCATTACCCAACAATCAGGGGTATTCAAGATTAGGCATTGAATTAATAGGATTTTAAGTCCAATAAACCAAATAGGGTATTCAATATCCTTTGCATCTAAGTTACTTGTGTGATCAGATATAACCGGAGTGATTTGAACTCATAAGGGAGAAATGAAGATCCAAGATATTTACAATCTGAGTTGATCTATCGGATTATCGAAATAACTTGAGCTAAACATCTCCCAAAGATGATGCATGTCGACTGATCAATTCATTGCCCTTCCATGGTATTCACTATATAATACCAACAATTCTTGTCTATATATCATCTTCAGAATCATAGCTGAATATATCTTAAGGAGATGAGTGGATATTCCAATAGTCTTTATTCCATTTCCACATTGCAACATTATTAGGAATTGTCGACGTACTTTAATTCATGGTTATAACTTTTAGAGACAGTACAACATATAAAATTGTCAGTGTTTCCATACTTATCAAAGTTATTTGCTTAATTCAAGGTTATTGGGGGTATTTAATTCAATTAATATTCTAATTTATCCTAGTCTCTTAGGGGTTTCCTGATTAATTCGGTCGTTTCCGCAAATTCAAATACATATAGTACTTTCATTCCTTAACTTGGTCAAATAATATAGTCATATAGGTATTCGAGGTTGATTTATTCATTTTGGAGCTTAAGGCTTTAATCATTCCAGGTCTTGGAAATACTTTAGATCATTTTACACTTTAGGGCATTTTGGTCACACTCGACCGTCGCTTCACTTGGTGCTGGCGGTATAAGCCACCATCGACCGGTGACCAGTGATCAGAGATGAATTGCTCAAAAATGCTCCCTCCATTCCTCTCAGTAAATCAATGATTGATTCGGTAATTACAGAGTTAGGAATGGGTCGAAATGGCTACTGGTTCATCTTGTGGCGTCCGAACACCGCAACGACGGCCGGAGGCAGGCGTATCTATAGTCGAATGCTGGAGGATGATGAGGGGGAGAGGTTTGATTTATTTGGGATGGTTGGTACTGAAACAATACACGAGAAAAAAGGGGGTTATTTTTCACTAACCCTAAAAATTGGTAAAATTTAGGGTTTATCTCTTAAACTCCCTAACAGTTCAAATCTAGGCTACAAGGTTCATTTTTTTCGATTTAGTCCTTAATTTCTTAACTGGGAGTGTTACACGTTAATTATAGTATACTGTAGATATCAAGAAACAATAGATGGGCTATACAAGTGTGACTATTCCAAGACTTGTGCCTATTCTACATATAAAGGACAAAAAGATGTAATACATAAAAGAGTTAATCACGAAAATGATATGTCGAATCATAATTTCTTGTAACTTAGGTGGCAATGATATATTGCTAGATTTCACTCATTGTATGTAATATTAGAATTGTTGTAATAATTACTACTAACATAACAAGAACCTACAGGGTCACACCCCAGGATTGAAATGAACAAAGATATACAATTTGTTGTATGTTACTAAAATATATCTAGAGTTAATATATGTATATTTTATATACATATGATTTTAATTATCCCGAATATAATTAGTAAACATTAAAATAATTTAATTTTGATTATAACTCTTTTAATCGATATTTAATTCGAAATAATTAAATAAGAGTTTAAATAAACGTTAAAGATTGTAATTCAATTTATAAGTCTTTAATGTATATTAAATTTGAATTAATTAAATTAGATTTTTTATTAATTCGAAATAACTTAAAATCCCTAATATGTTAGGGTAACTGATATATTTAAAGTGAGGTAAGGTATAACAACCATGTTCTTCAGCCGTTTTTCTTAAAACTATTTTTGGGAAAAGTAAATTTTGCTCTCAATCGGGTGAACTAAGTAAAGGCCGAGACGTGTTTTCGTGGAGGCATACGATTCGAACCGTTCATGATCACCATTAGTCGTTGTTGTCTTTGTTATTTTTCAAGGAACCCATTGTAAGTATTCACATCCTTTCCTCCCGATTTTGATTTTGCGTACTTGGGTCGCTAGTGAGATCGTCAAGTTTTTGTTTCCGTTGCGTCATGGGTGCGTATACGGTCCTAACACCTGGGACATTCAAATTAGATGCTAAGGATTCAGTGTTTGCCCAACTTTGTGTCATAACAAATATGCTAAAAATCTATAATGTTCCAGTGAGGTGAAGGAACTCAGGATGGCCAGGTCTGCATGCATCTTATGCTGTGGTAATCATCATGAGAGTGGATGCCTGGAAAATCAAGAATTTATCAACTACGTGGGGAATTTTAATCGAAATATCAATAACCCCTATTATAAAACTTATAACCTAAGATGGCGTTAGCATCCTAACTTCTCATAGAGTAATCAATGGGCAAACAAAAACAATGCAGCCAACTTGAACATGACACAACAAAATATTTCTGAACCTTCTGGATTTCAACAACAACATATGTTGTAGTAGAACGTTAACAAAGGTTCAATCTGTACTTTAAATTCTAATTCTCTTAAAGCTACTTTTCAAGATTTTATGGCTTCAACAAAAGCTTTATTGCACGAGCACTCATAGAAAATTCAAAGTTAAGGCACACTTTTGCATAATCAAGCAGCATTGTTGCAAAGTCACAACTTATCTTAAAGAGCTTTGGTGAACCAAGTGGGTCAAATTGCTACAACATTACATGCTTGCCCACTAGGTAGTCTCCCTAGTGATGTTGAAGTCACTAAGCCTCATGGAAAGAAGAAATGCAGTGCTCTCACGCTAAGGAGTGGTACCCAACTCAATCAAGGAGACAAGTTTGGCGGGATGATGCAAGAAGATTCCCACCATAGCATTGTGCAACCAGAACCTGAAGTGTAAGAAGAATTACCTATGGAGAACCATAATTATAAGGGTTCCACGAGTAAACCTTCTAATGGAGGACAAACTAATGTCACAGAAAAAGTTATTCCCCCACCTGTAGTGGAAGAAGTCAAACCCCCATTGCCATTTCCTCAAAGACTGAAGAAGCAAAATGATGACATCCAATTCTAGAAGTTTGTTGACATCCTTGACCAACTATACATCAATGTTATGCTCTTGGAGGCCATTGATCAGATGCTTACAAATGCCAAGTTTCTCAAGGAAATTGTCACAATGAATAGAATGGTGGAAAGGTGTGAAATTGTCGCCACTGTGAAAGAATATTGTTCTACGCTCATTAAACTTCCACCGAAGTGAAAAAATTGTGGCAGCTTTGTTATACCTTGTTCTATCGGTGAAAAATATATGGGGAGAGCCCTATGTGACCTGGGGAGAGTCCTATCGTTGATAAATTTAACGCTCAAGTCCGTGTCCTTAAAGCTTGGAATGGGTAATGCTCGACCTACCACTGCGATTCTACAACTACTTGACCGATCTCATGTTCTTCCAGAGAGAAAAATTGAGGATGTTATAGTGAAAGTCAACAATTTTGTATTTCCTGCTACTTTTCTTTTACTCGATTGTAAGGCCGACGATAATGCACCCATCATTTCGGGGCATCATTTTCCAGTTACAAGTCGTATTCTCATCGATTACAAGAAAAGAGAGTTCACAATGCGAGTGGGTGATCATAGTGTTACAATTAATGTCTTCAACACCCTTAAGCATGTAGATGACTCAGAAGAATGCCAATGTGTGTTGGACGTGGATTCAATAGTAGAGGATGAAGCTATAAATTTCTACTACAACAACTTTTTACAGCTTGAAGACTATGAAAGATTCACTGAAGATGAAGGCATTGAGGAGCCCGAAAATTTTTCTTTAGAGGTGGAGCAGTCTAGGTTGCTCTTAGCTAGACCAGGTATGCATTTTGAACCTTTAGATTTTGATGAATTTGTTCCTCCAAAACCTTCTCTACAACATGCATCTACCTTGGAACTTAAACCTTTGCCATCACAATTGAAATATGCTTATCTAGTTAGTGATAAATGTCTTTGCACAAAATAAGAATGTAGTTTGATAAATGTCTTTGCACAAAATAAGAAAGCTCTAAGGTGGACTATGGCAGACTTGAAGGGAATAAGCCTTAAAATTTTCATACAGAAGATTCAACAAGAAGAATGCCATAACAATTCTGTAGAACCCCAAAAAAGACTCAACCTGATAATGGAAAAAGTGGTGATGAAAGAGATTATCAAGTGGCTAAATGATGGTGTGATTTATCCTATCTCCAATAGTTCGTGGGTCAGCTCGGTGCAATGTGTGCCCAAGAAAGGAGGCGTGACCGTGGTGAGTAACGAGGAGAATGAGCTATTACCAACGAGGAACATTACGAGTTAGAGGATTTGTATAGACTATCGAAACTCAAAAAGGTAATGAAGACGGACCACTTATCCCTCGCATTCATCGATCAGATTCTAGACCGATTAGTGGGTCATTTTATTGTTTCCTCGATGAATACTCAGGGTACAATCAGAATGCCATAGCCCTAGAAGATCAAGAGAATATCATCTTTAGTTGTCCTTATTACACGTACGCCTTCTGAAGGATGTCGTTTGAACTATGAAATGCTCTAAAAATCTTTCAGAGGTGTATGCTTGCCATTTTTTCAGATATGGTGGAGGATTTCTTGGAAATTTTAATGGACGATTTTTCCGTCTCGGATGACAATTTTGATAAATGCCTTGGAAACATGGCTAAGGTACTGAAGAGATGTGAGCAGGCCAATCTAGTGCTCAACTATGAAAAATGCCACTTCATGGTGATTTAAGGAATTGTGATGGGCCACAAGATTTCAAAGAAGAGAATCGAGGTCGACAAAGCCAAGGTTGAGTTGCTTGAGAAATTACCTCCACCTACCATCGTGAAGGGTATAAGGAGTTTTTTGGGGCATGTAGGATTCTATAGGAATTTCATCAAAGACTTCTCAAAAATTTTGAAGCCTCTCTATCTTTTGCTACAACAGAATCAGCCATTCCTGTTCGATAAAGAGTGTTTCAATGCATTTACAAGCTGAAGGAAAGACTTGTCACAACACCAATATTTATCCCACTGACTAGACATCTCTTTTTGAACTGATGTGCGATACAAGTGACTACGTTGTGGGTAAAGTGCTCGGGCAAAGGCAAGATAAAATATTTAATGTCATTTATTATGCTAGTCACCCACTAAATGAAGCAAAAATAAACTATACAACCACTGAAAAAAATTACTTGCCGTGGTATTTTCTTTTGATAAGTTTAGGGCATACTTGATAGGAACTAAGGTCATTGTGCACACTGATCACTCATCTATTAAGTACTTAGTGAATAAAAAGATGCCAAACCTAGACTTATTAGGTGGATACTTTCGCTGCAAAAATTTGATTTAGAGGTTAAGGATAGAAAAAGCACTGAAAATCAGGTTGCTAATCATTTATCTAGGTTGGACAATATAAATGAATGCCATGACAATCTAGAAATTGAGGAGGAATTCCCTAATGAAAAAATTTTATCTTTCGAGACATGTCTGTGGTATCTGACACAGTTAACTTTCTTGTTAGTGGTGTTTTGCCTCCTAATTTGAATAGCCAGGGTAGAACGAAGTTCAGACATGATGTGTGACACTATCAGTGGGATGATCCCTATTTTTTCAAGCAATGTGCTGACCAAATCATTATGAGATGCATCCTTAAAGAAGAACAACAGAATATTCTATTTCATTTCCATAACGCACATTGTGAAGGCCATTTCGGGGGCGTTAAGACAACTGTAAAGGTTCTAAAGTCTGTTAACTCTTTTTAAGGATGTACACAAGTTCTACAAGTCATGTAATCAATGCCAACAAATTGGGAATATTTCGAAGAGATATGAAATGCCATAGCAAAACATTATGGAGATAGAGATCTTCTACGTTTGGGGAATAGATTTCATGGGACCATTTCCATCATCCTTTGGTGATCTGTACATACTCTTAACAGTGGGATACATGTCCAAGTGGGTCGAAGCCATAACAGCACCAATAAATGACTCAAAGAACGTGCTCAAGTTCCTTCACAAGAAAATATTCACACTATTTAGAGCACCTAGAGCCATTATCAGTGATGAAAGTACCTACTTCGACAAAAATTGATTGATAAGGCATTACAAAGGTATAGAGTGCGACATAAAATCTCTACATCATATCACCCCCAGACCAATGGGTAGGTTGATGTGGCCAACCATAAAATCAAGCAGATTCTCAAAAAGGTTGTTAATCCAAAGAGAAAAGACTGGTCCCCGAAGCTCAATGAGCCACTATGGGCTTATCGCAAGCCTTTAAAACTCCGTTGGGTATGTCCCCATTCAAGTTAGTTTATGGCAAAGCATGCCATTTTCTTGTTGAGCTAGAACACAAGGCTTATTGGGCAATTAAGAAGCTCAACATGGATACCCAACTGACTGGTGAGAAAAGGTTGCTAGAGCTAAATGAAATGAGGAATTTCATGATCAAGCTTATAAAAATGCAAGTTTGTACAAAGAAAAGGCCAAATGATGGCATGGAAAAATATATGCCGCGGTAATTTCATGAAGGCCAACAAGTCCTCCTATATAATTCAAGGCTAAAGCTTTTTTCGGGCAAACTGAAGTTCCAATGGTCTGGACCTTTTCAAGTACATCACGTGTACCTGCAAGGAGCCGTGGACATCAAGAACCTTGACGATGGCTCCATATTTAATGTGAATGGCCAATGCCTCGAGGTGTACAATGGAGCCCCAATATTTCAAGATAAATCAACACTTCTCCTCCATGATGTTTCAGAGTTTGCACCACCCACTCTTCAAACTCTCACTACAACAATTATTTTTGTAGTTTGTATATAAATAATTGTTTTAAGTTAACTATTTATTTTCTTTCCTTTTCAATTCAATTTTAACTTTAGTTTGTTTTCTAGTTCATCCGAAGACATGTGGTAGTGCGAGGAATGAGCTTAAAAGATATCAAAAAGAAATATCTTTTAATTATTCTATTTATTTTTATTCCTTTTTAACTTTTCAAACTAACTAATCACATTCTAGGTAATTATTACCTTCCTTTTCTCTTTCCTAATTTTGCATTAACTGCCCTAAAACCACTCACTTTTTCTTTAAAACTGCCTACTCCTCTTCTTTTTCTTCTTCAATTTGTTTTTAATTTTTTTATTTTCTCTCTCAAACTCCCTCTTCTCCACCCAATTTCTGCCATAGCCACCACTTGAGTTTTCTTTCTTTTTCTTCTTTCCACCGTGAAACCCCCACTGCCGCCACAACAAATTTTTCTTTTTATCATAACTAAGATGGCTCACTGTAAAAATGTTTCCTTTAAGGGTTCTTCCTCTCAATTGTCACCGTAAAACCCGTTTAGAAATTTAAAGATGATGCGGTGGAGAAGAGATTTCAACATATGAAAGGTCGGTAGGTGTACTTGGAGTAGAGTTTTATTCTGTCGGTGGAAGGTGAAGAGCCTTTTCCCTCTGAGGTAACTTTTGTCATAGAAAAACACTACTGGGAGGTTTTTGCTCAACATCCGGGTGATGTCGCCCCTGCCATCGTGACAGAGTTTTACGCTCACCTTACCAAGCCTACAAAGTATAGAATTTGGGTACATGGGAGGAGAGTTCACTTCACACCAAAAGTCATAAACCGTTTCTTTCAACTGGAGAATGTCACCAACCATCATACAAAATTTTTTGCTTCATCAAATGTTGAAACCTAAGTGGGAGTCTTGGAGGATTTATGCTTCCAAGGGTTACAGAGGTAAGGTGAAAACCCTAGCAAGTGGAGAGTAGAGATGCATTGTCTGACGCCTCAAGTAAGGAATGAAATCACTTCATTAAAACTTGATGAATGCCTACACTGCACCATACAACTGTCTCGCTGCAGCGGATGCTTCTTTTACATTCCATTATTTTTGGGCATCTGATTAGTGTCAGTGAGGTCATTTTCCAAGAAATTTATGAATGTCTCAAACGAAAAAAGGGGACACTGATATTTCTAAACTTGATCACTATCATGTGCAAAAAGAAGAAAGTGTGGATGAGATGTTTGAAGAAAACATCCTAACAAAGGTTGGCATAACTATGAAATTGATTCTGAAGCTGATGGGTTTTGATGAGGATGGTCCCAAAGAGATCCTCGAAAAAGGTGCTAAAACTATTGTTGTGGTAAGAATGGGGCTATAGTGACCTCCTAGCGAGAAACAAAGGAGAGTGTTAAGAAGCTGGAGACCAAGATGCATGCATTCTTCAACTATGTGAAGCAAATAGATGCAGTCATGTCCTTTTTTTTTTCAAGAAGATGATGACTTTGAACATCAACAGTTTCTCTTCTTTCCCTAAAGACATTTTGGAGGAGGAAAAAACTGCCAAAGCATTTCCTACAGAAGCTCCACAAGCCATAGACCACTAGACTAGATAGACAACTACCTCACCAGTTGAAGCAGAACAATCTGATGAGGATGCCCACTCCAATACTATTGGGCCTATGGACCCTATGACATTAAGCCACATGACACCCTTCCCTCGTCCATCATGCCCATCCCGATGATGCTGAGAAGATCGATGAATAAGCAATGTTTGACTCTACTGTTGACATTGAGGAGATCCAACACTCGCCTGTGCAACCATAGCTTGTTGAACCACACCTGATTAGACATCGCTTGAAGAGGTCAGCCAGGCGTGCAGCTGAAACTTCTGCTGCAACATCTGAGGTGTAACACCCATATTCTATATACAGTTACGCATACGAATACAAATGTCACATAACTTTAAAAAATGTTTACTCGTTTTGAAAATTCTTTAAAAATTTGTTTCAAACTTAATTTCACATAATTAACGTAATAAATACATATTCATTAAGCATATTAAAAAATATGTTTGTTAAACTTGATTACATGCCAGACAGGTTTCAAAATGATTTCTAAAATCCTAATGTTATTGGTGAGTCAACCTTGGTAGATGATATCTGCTGCTACAGTTGTACTCCTTACTTGATTATTCTCTGTTGTTACCTATGCGTAAAAACACCCACGTTAAGTCATTACTTAGTGAGTCATATTATTGTAAAATAGCCTTTATGTACTCATAAATAATTTATAATATTTAGTTCCCATCAAATGGTATTTTCTTTAAGGATTGTCTAACCCTTGCAAATTAAACGATATTTCATTCCCAATTATCATAAGCATTGACTATATTTTCTTTCTTTCTTTTTCATTTATAACATTCTTTCATATTTGTAATGCACCATTATGCATTCCAAAATAAAATATACTTTTATGTTGATAATGCACCCATATGCATTTCAACGATGGCATCCTTTCATGCCGATAATGCACCCATATGCATTATTATTTTATGCTGACAATGTACCCATATACATTTCAGCTATTGCATCCTTTCATGCCAATAATGCACCCATATGCATTATTCTTTTATGATGACAATCTACCCATATACATTTCAGCTATGGCATCCATTCATGCCAATAATGCACTCATATGCATTATTCTTTTATGCTGACAATGTACCCATATAAATTTTAGCTATGGCATCCTTTCATGCCAATAATGCACCCATATGCATTATTCTTTTATTCGTTTTAGAGCAGTCCATACTCTAAAACTCATTCACAATATCATTTTCATGTATTCAATAAGATATAATAATTATTGTAAAACATACGTTAACATTTAAATATTACATCTTGAATAATTTCTAATCATTTTCATGTAAATTTCATACAATAAATGTACTCACTTGGCTTTCCTCGCTAAGTGTCCAAAAGTAAGGATGATTACTCCGGAACTTTTCCCTTTTCCTTAGTTTTACTTGTCTCGTGAGCTTGGTTCCGATCTATTCAATCATCCATTAAAACATGTGCCACACTTAGTATATTTCCTAACCATTGAAATTAAACCCTATACAAAAGAATATACATTATTAACTTTATATATCATTATCAACTTATTTTTAACATTTCTGATTCCAAAGTATCAATAGTACTACCCTAGTACTGATATT